TTACAAGGCCATATTGACTCCCATTTCACGAATTTGGAATAAAGTTTCAACATTAATATTTCAAAAACTACAAATTGTACAGGCACCAAAAGGCATAGCCATCATTTGGCACAGGGGCTTTACAGATATAAATTACAATGGCAGCTCTAGGACAAAGTTTGCAGGAGGAGAAGCATGGCAAAGTTGAGATGACTTGGATGGGAAACGAATCACAATAGTGTTTCAGTGTTCACTTTTCAGGAATCGTCTAGAAATATTTGACTTTGTGTTTGAAGATCGTCCAGTGAAAAGTGGTTCCCAATTTAGGACCAAACAGGAGTTTCTGGGGATTATAATAACGGTTTGCTCTCTTCTCGATTGATGATGATGATATAATGCAGACATTACGTGATCCTGGTAAGGTCTTTAGCCACGTATTAAACACAGGAGCAACCGTGTGGCTCGGTGGTTGTTGTTCAACCACCTTCAAACCAAGTGGTGTGATCTTCTAGCACGGGGTAGTTCGTGAGCATCAGACCAGAGGCAAATTTGAATATGGACCCAAATCTAGAGATCTGACGTTCACGAACGATCCGAATCTTTTGAATGGTTTTTTTCAATAAATGATAGGAGCCGAGTCGRGGGGCAATAAACCATTTGTAGGTTTATTTGTTTTTTATTCCTCATATAATCTTTATTTTTTAATCCTTAAATCACTCCCGCTTTGCTTTTTTAACTAAAAACAGGCAGAGCGGTGGAGTACAGAAACTCACGGGGAAAGGGTTCCCATGGTTCCATCCACGTAACGTGATYTCATTACGTACGGCGACGTGATGACATCATCATGTACGGCGATATGATGACGTATTTCCCTGCGTGATGTCGTAATTCATTCAAAATCAAACGACTCTTATGAATGAAACAAATGGCTCCTCAAGATCCAGATCTCTTTGAGCCATTTATCCCATTTCAGCCCAGATCGATTGGTAAATTTCAACAGAAATTTGGGAACAAGGAGCTAGATGATGAATACATTTGGGGACTAGACTGCACTCTTCTGGATGAAGATCTCTGAGGTCGTTCTGTCTACATAAAAGTAAATAAATAAATACAATACATAAAAATGAATAGCAAGTGGTGGGTATGATTCTGCTAATCAGCTAACAGCTAATAACAAAATCTTRCGTTTAGTGGATTAGCTTTTTCCACTGACTTTGAAAATTGTTAGTGGACTAATTAGCTTCTGCTAAATTAAGTTTAACCAACTTTAAGTCAGCTAACAGCTAACTAACAAGCTAACATCAACAGTTTTGTGAAAGTCCCACTAGTCTTCAGCTCAAAGGAGACAAAGACGTGAGTGACAGTCGTCTTAGCAGTTAGCTGTTCTCTTCCCTTAAATTTTTATTGGTTTAGCTGTTTAGCATTAGCTTCCACTATTTTTTACATTTAGTGTTAGTGTTAGCAAAGCTATATTCTTAGTTAGCCAATTATGCAACAGCAAGTATAACGTTTTGGTTAACTGTGTCCACCCCATCCGGTTGACAAACCAGCAGTCGACCAGTTTGACATCAGATCTGGTCCACATCTGTCTGTTATGCGGGACATATGTCCTACATTGTCTTTAGTGTAGGCTTTGGGTCCTTTTCCCTAAAAAAAAGGCAAAATGAACGTCTTTAATTTGTTACTGACTCAGTGACAGCTGTCTTAGTGGTTAGCAATTAGCTGCTAGCGTTAACTTCCATTGACCCTCAGCTTTAGTGTCTTTTAATTTTATAAAACATTAAATGGTTTTGTGTTAGCGAAGCTAGACTTTTAGTTAGAGGAATAAAATTTATCAAAGCTAAATCTTTTGTTAGTTCTGCCCATCAACTAAGCATCAAATCTTTGTTGCATAAAGACTGGGAGACGTAGGAAAGATACCACACCAGGTGTTTCTGATGAATACCAAACACACACAGAGAGGAGCTACAGTATGTGAGACTATAAGAACTAGTTTAAAACTGCCCAGTTTATGTAAAGTTTTTAATCACATGCACAGACAGCCATGATGGCGGGAATCCAACAGGGGGATTAAGATCCAACACTTCCATTATGTGAAGTGAAAAAGCTGAAACCTGAGACGACTCCTCTGTTTAAGGTTGGTCTTTCTAGTTTAATGCAGTTCAGGGGTCCCCAAATTTTTCCCTGTAAGGGCCACATAACTTTTCCCTTCTCTGGTGGGGYAGTGTCAATAATTGTATTGGCAATGTGGCCTCTTTCTGCACACATACAAACCAACACCTGGCACCAAAAGGCATAGCCATCATTTGGCACAGGGGCTTTACAGATATACTGTAAATTACAATGGCAGCTCTAGGACAAAGTGTGCAGGAGGAGAAGCATGGCAAAGTTGAGATGACTTGGATGGGAAACGAATCACAATAGTGTGCATTGCATTGGTCCGGCCCCCAGAACAAATGGGGAGGTGGGCCGTAGTTTGGGGACCACTGATGCAGATTGTTCTTTCACTTCTCTCTGGAACCATCTTATTTAAATGTCCTCAAAAGAGTGTTTTTTTTTTCGATGTGTAGGTGAAAAGCACGGAAATTCTTGGGACTCTGTTCAGTTTAAATGGAGAAAATCCACCAAATGAGACACAAATCGACTTCAAAAACATGCAAACGAAAACAAAACGTGCAAAACAGCAAGACAATCCAATTCACTTTGACTGAAATCTGTTTTTTTTTTCTGTCTGTGTCGTGAAAAGAGCCCCTCCACGCTGCTCGTAAGAAAAGGCGGGAATCACCATGTCAACCAGGCAGATTTTTCAGTTTTTTCCATTTGTTGATGCTCTTTTTTTTTTTTTTTTACAGAAGATAATTGAATTCACCAAAGAAAAAAAATGACTTAGGTATGAGAAAAGATGTAATTTGATTTTAGATGATTTTATTTCCTTTTTGGAATAAAACACTGGGAAATATTGAGTTTACTTAAGGTGGTTTGTATTTTCTGCCGGTTTGTTAATAAATCCACCTGCACACTGGTCTATGGGAGTTGCTTGTTTAATTCAGCTTTGTCACAAATGTAACACTGGCACTCATATTACTGTCAACTTATTTTAACCGGTGGTGGTACTTCAGTACGGGATGCTTCGTGGCTATAATGCATCTGAAATGCACCCAGACTGGCTTCGTGGTGTCCCAAAGAACTGTCCGGAGTACTTTTTACACCCTGTAAAGTTTTTTTTTTCTCCATTTCTGGTTACAAAATTTTGCCCTTTTAGGTTTTAAATGACAAACAGGAAGTGGCTTTAACTTCTTAGTGTTACTCTTCAAAATAAGAGCCTGGCTCTGTTGTAGCTTGGCTGAGTCTGCTGGTGACAAATTGACTCAATCGTCTCACGGGAGTCACGGAGCCTTGCTTACATGTCACTGACATTTGACATAGTTTTAAAAATTGCAAAACGCATTTTGTTTTAAAAAGTGTGAGTCATTGCCGGTGTCTCTGGAACTTGTCTAGTAAGTTGGTTTTTGCTGGACCTGTATTTTTTCCTGACATTCTTTGATATGTGCACAACTTACCTTAAAATTTCAAACCCAATTTTTTTTAGTTGAAAAGATGTGTGATTGCAATAAAAAATGTGTATTTTTATCAGGATTTTGTGTTTCCAATGCACTGGCGCTGGAATGGGG